GAGCTGATTTCCCTGCTTAGCAAAGATTGATGTTGTGGCAGGGCGTCAGGTTAGGAGCTGTAATCAAAGTCCAGGGCCCGGGATTGATTCTTTTGTGTTCCCCCCATTCTGCGGTTTCTATGCAGTGCGGCTCTTTGTGTGCGGACAGAGCGGCACGACCGGAGGACTGGACACGTCAGACACGCGGTCCATCAGCGCCTCCAGAATCAATAGCTTTTGGGGTGAGTGTATACGGAGGGAAAGCCTTTGGGGTGATAGTCTTGGTCTAATCATTTTACAGACTCTATATATCAGAGCCATGTCGAAGCTGCTCGTCGTAAACAATCCTCTTCCATTTCCACCACACTGATCTCACCAGTCTGACTCATTTGTGGGCAGATTGGGTCACAGATCCACCAGCACTCCTCTTCAATGCCCTTTGACTTGTACTGGTATTGATCATCCAAACTCACTGGTGTGAACATGACTTTAATTACCCATTACCCTGATGAAAATTACATCTCTGGAGAAACGCTGTGTCCCCAAATTGCACTTATTTTCTACTTAAAACGACAGGCTATTGGACTTTGTTGTAAAAATCTGGTTTAGTGTCTGACTGGTGGAAGAGACCATTCTCTTTAGCGTAACGGAAAAATGTGGTTTCAATTCATTAAGTATTTAGAAAGTAAAAAACCTGAGGAAAAGTTCCTACAGGGGGAACACAACTTCCAGAAACCTCTCTCAAATTTAAAAATGCAACAGAGGGAGTGTGTTTAAAACAACTTGTCGCTGACGGGGCCTTGTGGCCAACGCAGTGTGGGATGAAGACGGTCGGGGGGGGAGATGCAGACTGACCACAACTCAAGCACGGAGGCTGACGTAATGCTGCTGAGTTTGAAGCTAGCCAGCCATGAAGAGCTGCTGTTGGACTGTGTCTCTGCTGGAAAAGCTGGTGGAGCGATGACAGTTCCTCTTTATGGCTCTTTGAGAGAGTGGCTGAGTGGGTCCCTGTGTTGTGGCCTCTGCGACGACAGGCTCTGTGGCGTGCGTGTCCACGTCTGAGGCAGATTGTCAGTGCGTAGCCGCAGCGCTGCCATTTGTCACAGTTTACAAATAGAACAATGCTCACGAGCCCGTAATATTTAGTTGACCTCATGCGGCACAGTTACTGCTGGACCCGGGTGAATATTTTGCCACTGCAGAGGAATATATCTCGGTAATGTAGAACAATGTTTTTCAGTGCTTATCAGGTTTACTACTGGCAGGAAAGAGTCAGAGGCACAAACCGAGGCTGTGTAATCAGCCTCTTCTTTGGTATTCAGACATTTGGCCCGGACCTTGGTGTAGTGCCCATTTCATCAGTCAGGAAGGCCTGAAAGAACTAGACTGAACCAGAACCTCATGTCCGAGCATAACGTTTGTTTACAGAATATGAATTTAGGTGGGATATTACCTGCATTAAGCTCAGATGCCAACAAGAATCAGTGTAATTATGTATACAGCACAAAAAAAACACATTTTCTTTAAATGTCTGGATAAGTTATTAACTCTCCAGTTTAGTTTGAACCAAAGTAACACGTGTGACACATGCCTCAAACCTCGGTCAGGAACAAACACTCCTAAAAGTCAGTCAGGAAGCTGCGTGCAGGATTGTTTTTGCTTCTGACAATTTAAACGTTCAACCAGATCAAATCTAAACAATGGAACAAAGACATGAACCTTGACTTGTACCTCGGTTAGAACTTTCTGATGTGATTTAAACAGTTGACTTTCAGTTTCTTGCAGTTGTAGAAGATGAGAGCTCACGCTATCTGTTATAATATGTTTGAATGAAGCTTATCATTCATACGTATAAAACAACAAACTAGGACTGTATTTGAAGCCATTACAGAATCGCCAAAGGAAGAAAACTGAAACTGTGATGTTTTGATGCCACAAATTACCAGGCTCACAGAAAAAGAAATAATAATCCTGGCAGCGCAGAGCAGAGCAGTAATTGCTCAAATATCTCACAGTGATGTTGCGATTCTCCGCGTCCCTCATCAGCGATCAACGTGCTAATTGGCCCTGAAATTCGAAGGGAGAGGAGTCTTTTCTAACCGGCGTGAAGAATGGGCGGCTCTGTCACTCATTAGAGCAGACGTATACTTCACCCGCACTCATTATATCGACACTGTGCAGGAACTGGTGTGGTCATTGTGGGGAGATGTCATGGATCACGCTTGTGATCGACACTAAGACTCTTTCCCACAGAGCTCCTAATAAGCTTACTCCTGCTGCGCCATTTTTGTAATGATTAAATCCTATTCCCCCCCCACACACACACACACACAGATCCCCCCTTCCCTCTGATAAAGGCTGTGCAGTGTTGATTACATCAGTCGGTTTGTTTATCAAAAACGTCCCTCGGTTGTGAGTGTCTGCCAAATGAGCAAATGTAAATAAAACCTCGTATGGATCAGGGGTTCACGTGTTATCAGACACCCCTCGGTTTGAAAGTGGAGCTCATGCAGCTCAATGTCCTGATAAATCAGAGCGTAGAATGTTGGAGATTTGACGTCAAACACTTCCTGTGCCCTGACTTGCATGTTGGTGGTCATGTGTCGCTTTTTCTTCCGGCCAGTGTCAGACAGTCCTGCTGTGAACATGTAACCTGTCAAACACGGTGCACGGCTCTTAAATTACATCACATATTGTTTGTACTTATATATTCTGTTTGTATTTGTGGTCGTACATCATCAAATTGACCAACAGGTAAAAAAAAAAAAACTCTGGGCACCATTTGACATGTCCTTCATTGTGTCCTGCCTTATCTGTGCTTTGCAGACGCTGGGAGCCACATTGCATTTTTAGCCTTCTTATCAGAAGAGGCCAAATATTGGACTGTTCCTTTTTTTTATTTTGGTTTTTACCAGTGGTTAACCCCGCCCCCTCATGTGGGAGTTCTGGGGTCGGCCCAGCGTGGCCAGTGCCTCCGACAACCAGCCGAGACCTGCACCCACCACATGAGCTTATAAGAAGGATATGATTTTTATTTTAATAGGACGACGAAGTAATTATATTTATTTTTACAATCTGCATTGGCTTCCTCTTATCGTGGCTGTGTTTGTGTGAGTTTCTTCAAACTGCATTACGACGTACGGTAAATGTCATGATGTGTGTGCACCTTAAAGTTCATCTCCTGTCATTGATTAAACCTGTGAATCTCAGCTCTGTTCCTTTAAAGAAAAAAGAAAAAATCCCTTTATGGCCTATGATTTGGATGAAATGCTTCACCTTGGCCTCATTTAATATTCGTGGGCCTATGAATATGCAAATTGGCCCCACCTCTGTCTACAGCCAGGTCTCATCTCACACACACACACACACACACACACACACACACTAACTGTAGTTCAGACACACATGTGGTAACTGGAAACCGATCAAAGAACGGTGAAGCGTACAGGGTTTCCTGCGAGCTGATGTAACAGAACGGTAACGTGGTTTGTGCAGGTCTTAGAAAAGTGTCAGATAAACCTTCAACCTGCAGCTCTGACTGAACGAACTTAGCAAATACAGCTCGCAAACGTCTAAATATTATATTTGTCTGTTGAAACATGGGTAGCGGGGGTTTGCTGTGGCGAAACATGACTGTGATTTTCATTGTGCGTAGGCTCTGTATTGAGACGTAGCCAATAGAAACAGTCACTGACGCAGCATTCAAATCGTAGGAGATGGGAATGTGGACGGCTTTCTGTGAGGGGAGAATAATAATTTCACTTGAGGCAACAAGCACAGCTGGAAAAATATTTTCAATGCCCATTAATGTAATGGTTGTCCTGCATACGAGTTTGTGTTAATAGTCGTATGGTGATGACACACTGACGGCAACAATCTCCGTAATTTAGTACGGAACATCCAGATGAGGAGCGTGCAGCTAGTTTGTGTTCCTGTAAAACTGAAGGCTGCACATTGACACCAGCGTCTCACCAGAACTCTTGAATCCCGTCTTTCCAAGTCGCGTCTGTTTTTTCGTGCGTTAGAAATGTGATGAACACGCCCACTCGGACATTTTTACTCGGGTGCTGGCCGGAAACCGACTCGAACATTTGCGTTGTTTGACACACAGCCCCTCCCCCCCTCAGGGTGATTTCAGGAGGAGATCCGGAGTTGGTGCATGAAAGCAGCATTATTGGAATATGTGTCAGGCTCACAGGTCGTTATTTAAACAGATAACAACAGCAATTGACTCGTTTAGCTGAATAATGTTAATTCTGTGAGTTTAAAAATCAAGAACAAAGAGAAGCTCCAGGTTTTTTTTTTTTTTTATTGTTTGAATGGCCGGCGTCTTTCTCTAGATAAACGACTTGGTGATGGCCGATCACACCGCGTCTTTGACAGACGGGCGGCTGGCAGCTCACTCTGTGGTTGTCAGGTGTAAAGTGACAGCAGGTGGACAGAGTGTCCCGGTACATTTTAAATAAAACAGATCTTATCGTGGTTTTAAGCTTAAATATTCTCAGTCGTCACCTGAAATATTTCGGGTCTGTGAAGCAAATTGTTCCGTCAGTCTGACACTTTTATCCCTGGAAAGGCACCGCTATTGTTACCAGCCTTCAGTCACGTATAAAAGATCTTATAGCAACATGTACCCTGACCCAAAATACATTGATTAATCAAGCTGCTGCTGTTTCAACAAAGTGATTCTACTTTCACTTTGTGTTGATCGTAAGTTTGTGTCTGCTGAGCTCAGTCTTCCCTTTTGTTCATAGAGTCACAGATTGAGACCTGTGCTTTTATCACAAACGAAAGACTCATTGTGTGTGTGATGCTTCTCTCAATGACACGCTGAGCGCCTCTCGTGGAAAGGACACAGATGGAATCCGCAGCGTGTCATTTCAATCTGCAGTTACATTATAAGAATTCTAAGATTATTGCTTTACGGGAAAAGTTAGTGACGCTGTTTGTCACAGCGACACAACAAAATGCAGCACAGCCTCATGTTCGAAGCCGACAAACCGTCCTGACAAATAACTTACCGTCAGCAGCAGAGGACGACTCTCTTTGACGGCGCCCACGCAGCCCAGACAGCCGATCACCATGATGATGGTCCCCACCGCAATGAGCAGGTTGGCCGCTGACAGGGAGGGAAGGGATGATGATAGGGTGGCAAAGTTTCCCTGGGTCACCGAGAGCCAGACCCCCACCCCCAGTATGCCGCATCCTCCCAGCTGCAGAGGCAACACACAGAGGCGTAACGCTGTCAGTTTGCTAATAACACGGTCAAACTCATCGCAGACAGAATACACAGTCGAACGTGGTGATGCATGAGAATGTTTGCAGACTTTCAGAAAGCAGAGGGAGGAAATGGGAGGAAGCAGAAACCAACTACCAGCGCCTGTAACGCTCAGTACCTTGTTTTTCTACGTAAAAAAAAAAGAGAGTGAATGAAGGACAATTTGTTCAGCATCATGTTCTCTCCAGCGAGGTGGAATTTGTTATCTTTGCAAGGAGCTAGGCTAGCGGTTCATACCTATTTCCAGTCTTTATGCTAAGCTAAACTGAACGATAGTAAAGAACAAAAACGAGTGATTGAACTTGAGTCCATTGGATCAGTCGCTGGACAGTGTTGGTGACCATCAGCGGGACATGGAACCAGAAGAGTTTAGCAGTTAGCAGGATTATGCACAAACTACTGGACGGATTTCCACTGCTGGAAGATGTGGGTACGGGCCGGGAGAGAACCCATGAAATTTTGATGTGGTGTTTTTTTCCCCCACTTTATAGAGTAACACATGGATCTGGATGGAAAAAAAATTAGCAAGTTTCTGATATTTATGTGTGTGTGTGTGTGTAATTTGGTGCAGATCCAAATAAGAATCTGCGGCAGATTTAAATGTGGTTTCATAAGGGCCTTGGTGGAGAAATGTTCTCTACTCCTGATGTTTATCTGACACCATCACAAAGAGCTCAAGGCTCGAGGATTGTTAGTGAAGACCTCATGTTATCATACAGATAAACCCACAGTTTCCCACAGTGAGAGAAAAAAACTCACACACATGCGTCTGCATTAAACTCCAGCTTTTGAATTGATGCTGAGCAAGAGATCCTGTCACATCGATGTAGAAGCCCTGAGTTGTAACGTCAACATGTTAACGTGATGTCTGTACAAGACGTCCTCTGGCTTTCACCACAAAAACTGCAGGTCTCTGATTCTTCACACACGTTTCCCATTGAACGGACGTTGAAGTTGTATACGAGACAAATTATCACCTCCACTAAAGAGGTTCACTTTTTGATGTAGTCGACCAATTACAGACCGTTGGGCCCAGTGTTTGAAGAATTAAGCTGCTTTGGGAGGAAGTCTGTCCTCTGGAGTCCAAAACCACCAAATCTGGGAGGTTCCTTCTTTTGCATTTTTGTCCTGACGAACAACGACATGTTTACTTTTGCCTGTAGAGGCTCAAAATGACAGTGGGGGGGCTGTGACTCTCTGAAATATCCATCATGCAGACAGTTGCACATTCTCCACGGCCACTTGACAGAAGTCCCAGCAGCAATAAGACTTACATGGTTAAATACATGATTATTGCCGCCCCCCCCCACTCCTTTTATACACACACACTCACATGCACTTTTCTGTCTATTTCCAGCTTTGACACAAGATCTTATTTAATGAGCTCTTGAGCTAGAAGTAGGGCAAGGCAAAAATAAAAAGCACTCATGTGGCGCTCCACTCACTCAGGCAGCTGGGAGATTTCAGCAGCTTGCAGATGAACGGTCTTTGGGTCACTGCTGCTCACAACGGACACTTATCACGCCCCAGAGTGCATTCTCTAATGAAGTTTGGCCGCAGTGATGAAGGGTGAAGGATGAAAGGGGGGCGCTGAGAATAGGTGGTGAACATTTTGAGCTCACAGAGTCAGAGGCTCACGAGAGAGGAGGATAAAACCATCCCGTTAACGAACGCTGCCGTCTCGTACATTTTGCGGAACATTTAATCTACATGGTAACAGAGATGTGGAGTTGTCGATCATGATATTTCACCCGGTTCATATTTCAAATAACTCATCAGAACCAAAATGAACAGTGTGACAAGAACAACCTATAATGACAGAAAGCACGTTTGGGAGAAAAGTCTTTGACGTTTGCTTTGGTCCATGTCCCATCCATTACCATGGAGGAGGCAGTCTGTGAGCCATATTTACCAGTGATAAATGGAACTTCTTCCATTTGTTGGAGTGAATGCTTCTTGTTGGCGTCTGTTACGTAGATGCTGCTTGATGCCTTACTTAGAGATGACAAGACGATTATGGATGGGACCACATGCCTGCGTGATAATTGGCATCTGGAGCAGCAGATGCATAAAACTGTGAATCCACAGCTAAAACACTGTGTACGCAGAAAGATAGAAACCTGCATACGCGTTCTATTAAGGAGATTTACACAGCGGTGTGTAAGCGTCTGTTCTGTACTCTGCAGATCTGAATCATTGGGGAACTGGGTAAACGGGCACAAGCATCATTTCTACTGGACGTAGTAATGATGAATGCATTTCGAAACCTGCAGCCACTCTACCGTGGTCACAGCAAAATGTCCAATTTCACTGATTGAGACTGTGAGTCGTTACGCACGACCGTGGCTTTGCAGTAATTCTTCACATATACCGTCAAACCATCATCGCACTGATATTAACGTGAGGAGCACGATCAGTGATCGTACAATAGAGTTATAATAGAGAGTCACGTTTAAACACACTCTGTGCTCCGCAGCTCAGGGTTGAATTAAATGATCGTTAAGACGGGGAAATTGATGCTCTGACAAAATGATGAGGCGCACACACTTTTTAGTCTCCTTAGTCCAGTTCATGTGTGGGACAGAGCGTATCCGTGGTATTATTTAGAGTGCACGCTGTTTATACATCTAGCCCAGAGTGCAGGAGAGGCAGCGGTGGCACCAAAGACAACAACAGTAACCGTGAAGTTCACAATGAGTTCAGACACGTTCATTTATATTTAACCAAAACCACAGACGGTCCCTCAACCGAACCACGTCCATCCAGACAGAAGCTTTATTTCCGGTAGAAGCAGCTGAAGCTTTATGTCGTTGTTGAAAACTTGAAATGTCCATTGTGAGCAACTTATCTGAGGCGTCAGCTTGTCAATCTTCTGAACTCGTACATAAATCTTCATATTACATCAGTTGTTTCGTCTCTATTATCGACCTTCCTTCCAGCAGGAGGTGGGAAAAAACAAAAAAAAACAATAGCTTGCTTCCAAATCCACAAAATGCCTTGTTGAGACACTGGAGGTTTGTGCGACCTATGTTACCCATAACCCACTTCTGAGCGTGGGTTTGCAGAGACATTTTTTTGTGTCTTTGCAAAAGTGCAATTCCAGCCGGAGAATGACCCGATAACATTTCTTCTCACTTTCATCTTTATTTTGGATTTTATAGCCGTTTTTTTTAAAGTCCAACAGTGCAGGAGGGGGAGTAGGAAGTATTATAATGAAGTATTTGCTGGATGTGAATATGTTTTGACTCACTGAAGTGTTTTAATATGTGTTTTAGATAGAGTATATATAGGTTATTATAAGATTATGATATGCTGGTTTCTGTGCAAGGTCATTTGGAGCCTCCTCAGTAATAAGCTGGTTCAGAACTGGGATTTTCTTGTGCATAAGAGATAATCAAGTAATGCAGTTATTAGTAAAACTGGTTTTATTTACACCGATGAGGAATGAATTCATCTTTACGCTCTGAACAACAGCTTCTATTTTTAGTTCCTGGACTCACAAGAAGCAACATTTTCTTAATAAGAGTAAAATGTGTCTCAGCCACATCAAACTGGAGAATGTTGATGAGAGGCAGCTTTATATTATTGAAATGCAGCTCAGTGAGGATGATCACAGATTGTGAGTTTCCCTCCTTTGCTGATTTGCTGAACCGTCTCTCTCCTGCGTCTTGTTAACTTTGTGTACGTACGCATTCCTTGGAGGACACGGTCCACGTGGCCCACAAAGAAAAATGGTTTGTCACTGAAGCACAATGACTCCTGAGATATGTTGCCCAGGCATCTGAAGGATGCATTTGATGGCCACATTTGAAGGAGCCTTCGAAATGTTCTAGTCGAGCCACTGTTGACGCAGCTCCTGAATTGAGACACAGCCTTTGTCTCTGTTTCCCTTTGTTCAGAGTCGGTTCCTCCGTCAGTTCCTCCGTCAGTTCCTCCGTCAGCAGGCCTGGATTTTCTCATGTTTATTCCCTTTGAGTTTTTCGAACAAGTTTTGCCTTTGTGCTTTTTCTCCAGATGTGACCTCTTAACTGTGGACCAAACCTGCAAGTCTAATCAAAGACAGCAACCACTTTCACTCAATAAATCCCTTAATTTAATATCAGTCAATGGACGGATTGTTTAAACTAACTGAGTCCAGTTGAATATTGTTTCTGAATGTGCTGTTGTTTGTGCGTTTAGCTTTGAAGTATCGAAAAAAATTGCTTTTAGAGGGACGGGTTTTTTTTTTTCAGCTTTCTCTGGTCAATTTTGTCTTGATTAGAATTCGTCCCTGAAAAGCAGCAGCTTTAAATCTTTTCCCTCACACATGTTTACAGTGTTTAAATTGCTGCAGCCATCTGGAGCGTCTCTCGCTCTCGCTGCAGCTTTGTTTATCCAAAGCAGAGCCTCTGACACTGGCTGCTGATTAAACCTCGGGACGGTGACGGTTGAGTGTGAGAGAAAATACCTTTGAAACTAAACTTCACGTCCTGCATCTCAACCAATAGGAGAGATTATTCACAGTTCAGCAGAAATATCTACTCGATGCACAGTAGATGTTCTTGACCCCTGGGTTTGTAAATGTAAAAAATCTAGGTGAATGTTTTAATGACTACATTCGCAGTGTGTGAATATCACCGCTCTGATCTCTGTTGCAATTATCAGCACCTCATCCAGTGCACGGGCTTGAAATACATATTGATGCCATTTAATTAACTGGATTAAGGTCATAACTGGAATAATCATACATACATGAATGAAGTGTGAAACTCCTGTGGCCAATGATTAGTTGGTTTTCATGGATACCACACAGAAGAATGTTGGTTTGACCTCACATGCTTCATGTATTATTTCTTTCCTGACACTTTGAAGACTGAATCGTGTATTCAGCTTGTCCCAGGAGAATGAATCCTGCTCCTTAAACCCGCTCTCATGGTAACCGCCTGGTGATGAGAG